CATCTAGGTTGAGTTGGAATGTGTTTTTGAGATTGCCATGTGTATGGGGAAGTGATGGTGAGCTGTGTGACGTGGAACCTAATTCTGGAGAAAGTGATGGTGCATGAAGCAGAACAAAGTTCCCAATGAGTAGATATTGGTGCTAAAAGGGAAGAAAGTGAGGTAAAAGATCTGACAGTGATGAAAAAGAAAGATATGGTTGGGAGTAGTGACAAGCAGGAGACAAGAAGTAATCAAAAGTGGATTAAAGAGGTTTGAGAAGAACCATTATCCAAATAATGAAGATAAGGAGGTTGATCAAGCTAAAAGTCCGAGCTAATGGCTAGCCAAAATGGCCTCAAGTATAGTTCAATTGTTCCAAGCTTACATTTGGTTGAAATACATAAGATCTTTAGCGAAGAAATATTGGAATAGTTATTATTAAGATAATTAACTTTAATTTTATGAAGTTTTTCTAAGAACCAAACATGTATAAGCATCCTCTTTACACTTGAAACAAGATAAGTGAATCACTGTTACCTTTGTGAAGTGGGGTGAGAACCAACTTGTTTCGTTATATTGTGGATTGTTTATTCCCCTACACAAGTCACGCCATCGAATGAATAAAGTAGAATGAGTTTAAAGGCCAAGAATTCTTAAGTGTCACTCATTTTAAATGAACAAGTTGGGTTAGAATTATTGATTAAGTCGACTTTTGCCGTATTTTGGGCGTCAATATTTCATATTTGTTAGATTGCTTCGCCCCATTCTAAAATCAACCATTTTACCAAATTTCTTTGTTAGACCAAATAGGTCTTTATAAAATTACTTCTGATTTTTCTAAATGTTTGTTTCCCCTTCCATACAAAAACTTTGTAACATCATGACAAACAGAGTCATTACTTTTTGATAAATTAATTTGCATGGTGATAACAATATAAAATTTAGAGGACAACAAATATAACCCCATAGGAAAAGCCTGCGCCTTCTCTAATCACATTTCTGAGTTCTGTAATGTTTTTTAGTCTCCTGGCAAGAAGTACTATGAGTCTTAAAAGCCTTCCTACATCAAAAAGCATTGCAAGCAACATCATTTTTTTTTTTAGGTGAAAAGAGAGAAAAACATTCATAAATAAAATAGAATTCCACAAAAATTCGGGAAACGCAGTACCATTCATATCAGCATACAAGAACATCCCCAGGCCAAAGGGCCAGCGTTTCAGATGATGACAGACAAAAGAAGGGAGGTTGTGACCCATATTCTCCAGGAAATCAGTACACATGTTAGCTTCCCTAAACACGTCGAAGTTGAACATTTAAGACTAGTGCAAGCAACATCTTTCATTGGATATATAAACTTCAACACCCAAAAGAGTGCACCGTCACAGATAGTGTTTTAGACATGAGGTACGGCATGACCATTAGATTGTTTAGATACGAAAACAGATAATCAAAGAAGTTAAAAGAAACAGATTTAGTGTACAGACAGAATTAGGAGAATACTTCACTATGTGAATATCAAAGTACAAACAAACATCTAGAATTTTTTTTTCCACCATATCTTCAGTAGAAGCTCTGTTCACCAGATCTTATATCAAAACTCATAACCCATATAATTCTACTGCCATTGGGATCAAAATAAAAGATGATTGAAATGTAGCAGCCATTGTCATGTAGTAAGTCTCTATAGAATAATCAAAGTGCAGAAAAGCAAAGTCTAGTCAGCTCCTTGATGTATCAAAGAAGTTGATAATCCTGCATGACGAACGGTAAAACTGCGTCCAAATGATTGAACTTTTCTATTGAGCTGATAAAATAAACTAATTTGTAAACAAAGCTATCATTTAGAGCACTTCACCTACCTCCTATTGAAGATGTTACCATCCAGAACAAAATCTTAAGCCTCTAGCACAAAATTGCTCATCCTATGTAGATGATATATGAAAGCAAGAAAGTACTAATCAGACTGATTGATTATTTATGATTCTCAAAGCCAAACCACAGTCCAACAAATACATTTCTTGAGGTTTTGCAGTGACATACCTTTAACTATCTCTCTGAAAGAATGTGGTTTACGCTAATTGGAAATGAGGCTGTGATACTCAAGTAAGGGACCGTCTACTGACAACTGAAGTTTGCACAACTGCAGCTAGAGCTGAAGAAACAGAAATTAATATCAAATAATCAGCGAAGAAGATAACAAACAAACAACAATGAACTTTATGATAAACTGTACAAGTCATAAGTGGAGCAAATAACAAAAGCATATTCATTTTAGATGAATTTTAAGTTGAGAATTACTTCTACACTAACAGACCTTCATCAAAGTCCATAAGCTACTTTGCATCTGCTATTCTCCTTAACTTACTTCTAAAAGGCCTTGTGGCTTAATGAATGAGATACTGAACAGTGAACAACTACAATACACAAAATTAATTCTCAAACAAATAAAATGTATGATAGTACTCAGTTGGAAAGACTATATAAAGCACTAATGCTTAAATAACACTTTTAAATGATCTAGAAGGCATACTTGATACATTTCTGCTTTGTCAAGTGACTTCCTCATGAAAAGAATATAATCTATTACCACTTAAGGTTCCATGCCTGCACATGAAAAAAGAAATATATTAACGGAAAAAGAAGTACTATATGTACTGATCATGAAAAGTTACAGTGGAAAATATAAGATAAGGAAAGATATTTAAGAACAGAAAATTGGGGATAGATAGTCCCCCCAAGTATGAAAGTAGAAGCAGTTAATTAGGAGACCTAATGCTCAATGGTATTAATTGTCTTATAAGAACATATTTTGCAATGTAAATGATGAAATGCTAAATTCTGGAAACTAATGTAAACTATTAATATTCTTCATTAACTTCAAATCAAAGATTCCAAATAACAGACATGACTGATAAAAAAAAATTACATATATTAAAGAAAAGTGACATGAGTTGCAAATATTTATGGAGTGACAATGGATGGCTAAGTTTTGAGAAAATGGTGAGTTCTTAAGAATCTAACCTTAAAAGTCATGTATGACATAATTCCTTCTTCTGCTTCAATTTACAGAGTGACACTGAGTTTTAAGGCTACGTTCTGCAAAATTGATAAACTGGAGATAGGATGAGAGAGAGTATGATAACTAAAAACACCATCAAATGAAGAATGCAATAGATTTCATGTGCTGGTAATTTAAAATAGTTCTAACCTGTACTCATCTCTAAGTATGTGAAATCAATAGATCCACGTTTGGATAATTGGATCATTCTCACATAAGCTGGTCTAGAAAAAGGGAGCGGAATAAAAGTTGTTGTATGGTCAATTGTTGACATCTTTTATGAAACATGAATTCAACATTTTCAGAAAACAGAAAAAAAGATTGCCTAGAAGTATTACTCATGTATTGCCCTGCCAAAAAATGGAACTTCCAGGGACTACCATATAAATTGACAAATTTGATTTCAGGTGTTGCTTTGAAGTCTGAATTGATGAAAAGATAAATGTGCTTACTAATATGATGATGGTGACGATAAACTTAGTGATGGATGGGAAGTTTTTACAGAAGTTGAGGTTTAATAAAATATACCTGAGATGTTCAATCTTCTTAGAATTGGATGCACTCGGTCTACTTGGATATTGGAATGTGAGGAACTTTGAATCAATCAGTACCTCTTGGCATTGGATGGCCCTAGGAGAAGGCAAATATTTCAAATTATGGACAGAAATTGAATATC